CCGCCTTGGGCGACCGGGAAGGCTCCAATAATGTCAATCCCAAACCGGGCAAATGGTATGACATTAGACGTTGGTTGGTAGTATGTGGCCGGTCTGCCGGGATGTTTGTAAAAAACCTGGCACGTCCTACATCTCTGGACATACCGCTCACAATCCCCAACAATGGTCGGCCAGTAGTAGCCAAGCAATATTATCCTTTGAGCCAGGGTGCGAGACATTTGATGGGCCGCACAAACTCCCTCATGCACCTCAGCTATTACCCGTTCAGCCTCCGGGTTGGTAAGGCAACGTAGGAGAGGTCCACCAATGGCACGTTTGTACAAGTGACCATCGATTACCTGAAAATGGGGAGCCCGCAGGACCACCTTCCTGGCCCGTTCCTCGTCATCCGGTTTCTGACCGGTCTCCAAATATTCCATTAGATCGTACCTCCAGTCATCATCTGCTCCGATTATCCCAGTTTCCGAATTCTGGCCCGGTTGGATAGCCGCGATTTCAAACCGATCAGTACTTGGTTGATCTAAACTCTCAATTTTAGCCAACTTCGACACATGCTCCGGGCATGATTGCATTAACTTCGAAAGCATATCAGCGTCTGTGTTCTCCGACTGGGGTATCCTAGTCAGACGAAACTCTTCCAATTCCCTTAGAAGTGCTCGAACCAGGTCACCGTACCGGGCCAGATGCTCCTCTTTGACCTCCATCTCGCCATTGATCTGTCCAACTACAAGACTTGAGTCGGAACGAATTCTTATTCTCTTTATTCCGAGTGCCCGGGCTAGTCTGAGGCCTCCGGTTAGTGCCTCATACTCCGCCTCATTGTTGGTAAGCTTGAAGTTGAAAACCAACGCATGGTAGATTTTGAACCCCTCTGGAGTAGTGAAGACTATGCCGGCTCCGCATCCCTTCGGTCCAGAGGCCCCATCAACGGCCATGTCCCACCATGGTTCGACCGTATGAGAAGGTCCGGCTTCGGGCTCTAGACCGTTTAGTTCGACGAGGAAGTCTGCCAAAGCTTGACCCTTGATTGCGGTCCTTGGTTTGTACTCTATTTTGAACTGAGTGAGCATCATCGCCCACTTGATTAATCGCCCTGAGGAGGTCGAATTTTGGAGGACCGGCCCAAGTGGCTGATCGATTAGTACTTCCACAGTGTGAGCTTGGAAGTACGCGGTCAGTTTTTTGGCCGTAATGAAAAGTGCGTATGCTGTTTTCTCAATGGCAGTATACCGGCTTTCTGCCCCATTAAGTGCTTTGCTCACATAGTAAATAGGCCTCTGGCCGTCTGCATTTCTTATTAAGACAGAGTTTACAACGTTTTGGGAAATGCCCAGATACAAATACAAAGTCTCACCCGGTTTGGGTTTAGACAAAACAATATCAGAGACTAAGTACTCCTTCAGCTGCTGGAAAGCTTTTTCGCATTCTCGGTCCCACTCGAATGTATTAGCCTTCTTCAGAACCTTGAAGAAAGGCAGAGCCCTCTCGGCAGACCGGGAGAGAAAACGACTCAAGGCCTCCAACCGCCCGGTAAGTCGTTGTACGTCCTTCAGCGAACTGGGCGACCTCATCTCAGTTATGGCCTTGATCTTCTCTGGATTAGGCTCAATACCACGCTTGGTCACCATAAACCCTAGAAACTTACCGGTCTTCACAGCAAAGACGCATTTCTTGGGATTGAGACGCAAGCTGTACTTAGCCATAATCTCGAAGCAAAGCCTCATGTCAGCCGGGTGATTTGTCGCGCCTGGGCTTTTGATCAGCATATCGTCCACGTAGGCTTCCATGGATTTACCGAGGAGTGGCTTAAAAAGCCGGTTTACCATCCTTTGGTAAGTGGCGCCCGAATTCTTTAGTCCAAAGGCCATCACCCGGTAGCAATAAGTGCCTTCTGGAGTCAAGAAGGAAGTCTTCTCCTCGTCCTCCTCAGCCATGAAAATCTGATGGTAGCGTTTGAAAGCGTCCATGAAGCTGAGCAATTCACACCCAGCCGTCTCATCGATCATTTGATCGGGACTGGGCAATGGGTATGAATCCATGGGACATGCTTTGTTTAGATCCGTGTAATCCACGCACATGCGCGAGGTGTCGCCTTTAGGAGCCAGGACGACGTTAGCCAACCAGGCCGGGTATTGTACTTCTCTTATGTGCCCGACCGCCAACAAATCTTTCACTTCTTTTTTTACAAAGTCCCTCCGGACGTTCGCCAAGTGCCTCTTCTTCTGTTTCACAGGCCGGCTCCCTTCCATCACAGCCAAACGATGGCATATGACAGAACGGCTAATGCCCGGCATGTCCGCCACACTCCACGCGAAAATATCTGCATATTCCCGAAGGACTGAGATGATTTCCTCTCGAAGTCCCCCGGGCAGATCCCTGCCTATTCGCACCATTCTTTCCGGGAAGGCTTCTCGGAGAACAATCTGCTCGGTTTCATCACCCGGCTCTAGCTTCGACCGCTCTTCTTCCTGAGAGACCAAAGTGACTCTCTCAAATGCCTTGGTCATTTTCTTTACGGCCTCCAAGTAGCAATGCCGGGCCTTCTTTTAATCTCCTCTGACTTGTCCTATACCGCCCGGGGTATAGAATTTCATGCAGAGGTGGGCCATGGAGATGACTCCACGGACCTTGTTTATTCCAGGTCGGCCTAGGATGGCGTTATGAACACATTTGATGTTCACTACCACAAACCTCATTTGTTTCTGGACGACCTGGTCTCCTGTGCCCAACTCACAAGTCAGAAGGATTGACCCTTCAGCTTCAACAGAGTCCCCGGTGAACCCGGACAGGGGAGTCTTTAAGGGCTCAAGCCGTGTCCGACACAACTTGAGCTTTTCAAATGCATCCAAGTACAAAACGTTGACACTACTTCCCGTGAGACATCGACTCCACCCATGTCCATAGTTATAACCAGAGGGTCATTGTGATCTTCTCTGGTGGCGGGGAGGTCCCGGTCAGTAAAGGTGATCGGCTCCCGTCTTGCCTGTTTTGACCGGGGATTTAAGGCCACCGTCCCGACGTAGAGCTCTCGCCCCCATTTCTTTCTTTGGGAAGCAGAGTCTCCCCCTTCCGGTCCACCGTAGATGACCTTCAAATGCTCTTTACCGGGTGGTTTCTTCTTCTTGTTCTGTTCGACCGGCTTCCCTTCAGGCCTGATCCATTGGTTTTTCTTTTGCTTGGCCTGAGCTAGATACTCAGGATCGATCTCCCCGGCCTCAATCATCTGCTTTATTACTCCCTTCACACTGTTACACTCCGCAGTGTTATGGGAATCAGTTTTGTGGAAGGAGCAATACTTCTCCGTCCATTGTTTCTCGCCGGTCGGGTTCTTTTCTGATTTGACCGGCTTAACCTCCATGACTTCTGCCTTTGTCCTCCCGGGCTGTTCAATTTCCTTTTTCAAGGAAATTTTTCCTTTAGAATGGCCCTGCTTGGCTTCCCTCTTAGATGACACCTGTGCTTCGGCGTCAGCATAATCCCAGTCCGTGTTGTAGGCCTCTTGGTATGACTGGGGAGGTCTCCTGCAGAACTCTTTATACAATTCTCCAGACCGGAGTCCGGATACTAGGAGAGACATGGCGGTTTTGTCGTCCATCTCCTCCACCTTGTCAACCTCATCCTTCCACCGGGTAAGGAATTTTGTCAGATCCTCATGCTCTCGCTGCCCGGCTGTACTCAAGTAGGTAAATTTTTTCCTCTTGGTACAGTTTTCTTTGAACTTTTCTTGAAACACCTCAGCCAGTTCATCGAATGAGTCGATTTCACCGGCCGGTAAGTTAT